ATTGCTTCCTACCTGTTAGCAATGAAATCCCATCCAGTTAATTAACCTGCTCAGCGATAAAGTTTATTTTTGCCCTTCACCTTCGTTCCAAATCTTTAAAGCCATTAAAACAAGTACCTGGTCAATGAATAAATCTCACCGAGAGGCATTTGGAGCTCTCTGTAGTCTGGCTCCAATCACCTTCCTGCCTTTTCTTTTAACTACTTGCCTCCAAGCGCCTTCCACCCTAACCCAGTGGAAGAGCTGACGTATTGTGTTCCTGCTGCCAAGAATGACTCTCTTCTCCCGAATTCTTTCTCCTTTTTTTCTACATCTTTTAACTTTAACATCAGTTTGGATGTCATTTCCTGAAAAAGACTTTCCCAGAACTCTGGCACCAATCCCCACCTCCCCCAACTTCTTCCCACCTCTCCTAATTGCTGCTAAACTGTAGGTATTACCTCCCTATCCTGAACACTCCGAAGACTCTTTAGACTTGGATCTACTTCTGTGGGCCTTAAATTTTGAGTGTGCATGTATTTCTGGTAGGAGACTCTTGAGGATGCAGTTCTAACCAATTCATTTCTGTATTCCCGTATCTTCCAACATCATTCCTTACCGATGATTGGTGTTCAGTAAATGTTTTCTGAATGTTTTAAATGGAGATCCATTGATTTAACATTTTCTTTATGGCTGCTTTTCCTCTTGAGGCTCATGATTCAACATTAAGGGAGTCTAATTCAGTGAGATGTTTCTCAGGACTTATATTACATTCTAAACAGAATTCACAAGGTTCTGTCTTTCTATAGATAATCCAGCTGTGTTCCCGCCCCCATCATTAGCAGCTTTCTGTTTACAGGGTGGCACAAGACAGTCTGCATACAGGTTCCAAATCTCTCTGAGATGTGTCTTTTCTGTCCCCTACCCCAGTTTATAACACAACACAATTGGAATTAGCATTTCATGGGTATAAAACCTTAAAGCTCAATTTTAGATGTGACAGGTACTCAGTCATTTCACACTGATGGGACAAACATATAGTTTTACTGAAAAAAAAAAGCCATTGACCCGTTCAGTCCTTTCCCAGATCACCTGCTGGACTTTGGATGCTGCTGATGAAAATACAAGTACTGGTCCATACAGGGAACTCTAAGCCATATGGAGGAAGACAAACATGTGATGAGATCAGTTTTACAGAGAGTGACCTGCACAGTGCCAGAGGCAGATTGACGCGGGGCCGTGTAGAGTACAGATGCTTCCAAATAGTTCATTTTGCCGCAGTGTCCTTACAAGGATCAATCATTTAGGCATTATTGGATGGTTATTAAAAGCAGTGGCAGTCTTTTTTATTCCATCTATTTATTTATTGCATGTGTGCATGTAGAGAAGCATGTGTATGCCACGGTACGCACATGGAGGCCAGAGGAGAACTTGCAGGAGTTACCTCTCCCCTTTCACCAGGGATCCCAGCAATCAAACTCAGGTTGGTCAGGCTTGGTGGTGGGCACTTTCACCCACCGAGCCGTCTTGCAGGCCTGGCATAATTTTCAGATACTGACTTTGAGCAGAATCTCAGCATTCATGTCAGCTGCTGGGACATGATTTAGCCAAGCAGCCACGCTTGGTTGGTTGACCAAGACCTAGATGTCGGCCTTTGCTCCCTAGGGCTCAAGGGAATGAATTATTCAGAGACATCTGCAAAAGGGCAGTTTCCTTCTGATTCACTGAGCTTCATGCCAATGGTATTTTGGCGTGGCGATCTTACTTTCTACTCTGTCTATAGCTTCAGAATATCTAAATACATTAGCGTAATTAGCTCAGCTGTGTAGATGACTCACTGGAGTGTGTTCTTTAAGTCTGTGACCCTGGAGGAGTGGTGAGTGTTGAGGGGGGGGGGAGAAATTCTAAATTATAAATGTCCCAGGTCTGCAGTTGTAAACACCGATTATTTATGCAGCCCGTTTTTTGGTTTCCTTCTCTTTGGGGGCTCTTTGCATTTAGGGATACTCTTCTGCTCATCAGAAATTCCTCCAGAAGGGTGGGTAGGGTAATACAAGTCAGAAAAGAAAAGGTAGAGGAAACTAAAATCAATTTCAAATTTCTCCTTGCTGTTGGCCCAGTGGAAGACTTGGATGGGGGGGGGGGAATAAGGGATATAGGTTAGCATGAGGCTGTATTATTGCTTTGGATTCTTATGACTCACAGCTGAAAAGAACATGATGGCTTGAAGATTGCGGTGATGGTGGCTATAAGTCACTAACAAACATATTCCTCATCTCAAGACATTGTGTCAGGCTTATGGGATCATTATGAAACCAAAACACAGCAGAGAATAGGAGGGAGGAAGGGAAGAAGGGATAGAGAGATAAAGGAAGAGAGGGAGAGAGAGCCTTTCCCATTGCAGTTTAAATTCTAAAAGAAGAAATTGTTTGAAAGTTTAAAGCCCCTTTTTCATGAGGTTTTAGTCATGACAGATTTAATCCCCAGCAGGTACCAGCTTCGATATGGAAGTCACAAAACTTTATCTTTTCCAAAGCTTACAAAGTGACATTCACTTTAAGTGCTTTTAATGAAGAGCACCATGGATCCTGGTTAAGAGGCAACTGTATTGGGTGTATAGGAGCTGAGGGAAGTGTTGAGAGGGTACAGTGAGCAGGGAGCCAGCAGGGAGCTTACATAGTACTGTCCACCCGAATCCTTTCCAGCTGGGGGAAGACGTGGGAGTGAGTGCCGGCATCACTCCACCATCCAAGTTCCCATTCTGCCTCTTTTACTCTTCACTGCCTCCTCCCTCCTCTCCTAAATCCCTCCTTCTCTTCGTTACCTCCCTTTCCCCTGGTTCCTCCCCATCCTTTTCCTTCAAACGGTTCTCACTCCTCTGCCTCGCTCTCTCACAGTCTCTTTCGCTCTCATCTCCTTTCCCTCCTCCATCCCTCAGCGGCATCTGCGTCAGGCCCCCACTAGCGTGACGCGCGGGGTCTGGGTGGGAGCTGTCCACTCACCCAGGTGCTGAACGCAGCAGCAGCTTCACTGGCCGCGCGGGTGGAAGTAGCTGGGTGCCTTCTCCGCTCCAAGAAGCTTGTTTCCAGTCCTCGGACCGTCAGTCTACTGCCCCGGCACCTCCCTTCCAGCACCACCCCTTTGGGAACTGAGCCAGGGGGGCAGCAGTCGCGGCGGCGGGTGCTGAGCAACGGCGGAAGACAACACCTGGCAGCAGGCTGGAATCTGATTTGCTTCCTTTTCGGCTTTTCTAAGAGATATATTTATATACGGTTCTGGGGATTCTCCAGGACCAAGCGGGAGCCAAGTGCCGTCTGCCTGACCTTCTCGGCCACACGGTCTCTATTCCCCCTCCCCACCTTCGGCTTACACCGCAAACAAGCCTTACGTCCGTCCGTGCCTCTGCGAGGAGAGGTAGCAACAGCAGCGAGCCCAGCCAGCCAGAGGCAGCCGGAGGAGGGAGGGGCGGCGTGGGGGTGGGAGCAGAGAGCGGGCCGAGGCCGCCTTAGGTAGGGGAGCGGGGGGCAGAGCTGCCGATAGGACCTGGCAGCCGCCCTCCTCTGCCCCCACCCGCCAGAAGCACTCTTTCTTGATTATCTGAGAACTGAATTGTCCATTAGTATTTTTTTTTTTATTCTCCCCATCACTTCCCCACCGCCCCTACCCCCCACGCCTGCCTTGTCTCTGGTTGCATGGCAGCACTGCCCGGGAGCGGGGGCTCAGGGCCAGCCCCCCGGGAAGGAAGAGGAGGAGGATCATGAAGCCTGGAGTTGCGACCGCGCTGGACCGCGGGCAGCAGCCAGAGGACCAGCAGGAGCAGCTCCCGCCCGGGAGACACCAGGACGCCGACCAGCAGTCGCTTCTGCCGCCACAGCAGCAGCGCCGGTCGCGTGCAGACCCAGAGCAGGAGGACGACGACAGCGACCCAGAAGAGGACGAGGAGGAGAAAGCGAGGCCACTTTCCAGCTCGGACCTGCCTATCTTCCAGCTCTCGAACCTCGCCCAAAGGGACCTTTGATGGAACCAAGGGGAGGGGCCGCGGATTTACAGACTGCAGCTGGAGTGGGCTGGGGGCTTAGGTCATGTAACTATTCCTTTCTCTTGTCCCCTCCCCACGCCCCTCTTCTCTACCTCTTTTCTCTACTCCATCACCTTCGCTCTCCCAAGCACACCCCTCCTCTATTCAGGACCTTAGGCTCTGGAAGCAAGCAGCCTTTGGAGGGTTAAGGATCTTTTTTTCCTACATTCTTTCCTGGTCCACCGCCCTGTACCCCACCTCTTCTGTGTAGTCTTTTGGCTGCATAGGCAAAGCACAAGCTCTTTGCCCAATTTCACCTGCAATCAATTCCCCAGTTCCTCTCTTAAAAGCAACTCTGGTGCTACTGGGGGTTAATTGCTCCAGTTTTCTGCCCAAGAGAATTAGAACTTCTCTTAACCTTCTCTGCATCCTCCCCTCTCCCCCCGCCTTCCCCCAAAGCTTCTTACTACCTGAGGAAGCTTATCTTTTCTCTCACGTGCAGTCCTGGATTCTTCATCGAGCTGGTTTCCCTAAGCCCAGATCTAGCTGCTCCAAATTTGATTTATAATCTTCTCCACCCTTTTATATAAGGGAGATTCACCACAGCCTAGAGATTTAAGAAGAACCTAGCAATCCTTTCCTTGGGAACTTTTAACAAGTAGACATTGGTCATACATCTCAGCCTTGATGCTTCTTCTATTGCCCCTATTCTGGGGTCAAAGACAGAAAGGAGACGACAGTCAGAGCTAAGTCTGAGGTTGGGGTGGGGCTGCCAGGACAAGAAAAACTTTTTTTTTACTTTGCATTTTTCTTAGGAGCGTTCAGAATCATCGGCTCGCAGTTGTCAGTCTAGGAGGTAATTTATTTGCTGCTTGGAGGGGTTGTAAGAAGAGCCAATAAGAAAGGAGGTTCTTCTTTAACACAGAAACACTGTGGACCCCAAGCCCCACCCTATCCACCTCTTCAAAGACTCCAGCTGCCCCTCTCCAGTCCTCTGCTTCCCTGTCACATGCTCATGCCCCTGGGTGGGCTGCTGTGGTGCTGCTGCTGCTGTGGCCGCTACTGCTGTGGATTGTGCACCCCAGCTCCCCAGATGTTGCGCCACCAGGGTCTCCTCAAGTGCCGCTGCCGAATGCTCTTCAATGACCTGAAGGTTTTCTTACTGAGGCGCCCCCCTCCAGCGCCCCTGCCCATGCACGGTGACCCCCAGCTCCCTGGTGTGGCGGCCAACAACAACACCCTGCCGGCTCTGGGTGCCGGGGGGTGGGCAGGCTGGAGGGGCCCTCGAGAAGCCGTGGGAAGGGAGACCCCTCCTCTGCCACCTCCACCACCTTTGCCTCCTTCCGTGGAAGAGGACTGGGATGGCCCAGCCACAGGGCCACCTGCCTCCCTGCTCAGCAGTGCTTCCTCCGATGAATTCTGTAAGGAGAAAGCTGAGGACAGCTACTCTCTAGGAAGTAGCCTGGACAGTGGCATGAGGACTCCCCTCTGCCGCATCTGTTTCCAGGGACCAGAACAGGTGAGTCCTTTCCATTTCCCCTGCTTTGGTGTGTGGTATTCTCCAGGCCATGAAGACTGCCACTTAACTGTTTGCCCTAGGGAACTATTATGCTGTTTCCAGTGTCAAAGACAGTAAGTGTTTAGAGTTTCTCAGTGATGTTTTGGTGAAGCTTGACCAATAGGTGCCGGAAGGAGGCTGTTGGATAACTAGCTCAGTTGCACTTGGATTTTGTACCCTCCCCCAAACCAAGTCTCTTCAATTCCATCCCCAAACTTCCCTAAGTACTCAGAACAGAAGATCCAGAAGCAATGAAGTGGAGAGACTCAGAGGGACCTTCATGTTTGTTGCTAAAAAACACTTTTAGCTGGTTTCTTGTTGATAACCCCCTCAATCCATAGTCACCTCTTCATTCATATTTCTTCCTTTCCTGAAATTGTACCAAGATTATGCTCTCCCTTCCTAGTCTCATAGAGTGAAGTCCAAAAACCCCTGTTTGTTTGTTTCCTTGGAGGCTACCTCAGTTTGCCAAGACACTTTTTGGTGATCTCGAATTTTCACTGTGTTGGAATCAGATACTTTAAGCCAGAGTGAGTTTAAGGGACATTGGGAAAGAATCTTGCCAGATCTACTCCCCTTCCCTTACACTTTCCCCATTCGTGGCATGGGACAGAGATTTTTTTTCAAGTCAGGCAGGGTCTCCCTTCCTTATCTATTCAGATTTCCACAGACAACCCTCTCATTACTCCAGCTGCCTAGTGTTCACAACACTGGATGGATGTGCTAATCCACAACAGTTCTGAATTGTGAAAACACATAATGAAGAATCCCAGGAAAACAAGACTCACCTGGAGATCAGGTCTCCTTAATGATGGAGGAGCGGCAACATTTGATAGGGATGTGGGCAGGGTTCTGTGATCACCTCAGTGACCGCTTCAGCAGTCTCTTGAAGTAAAGAGATCCTGGGTGTTCTTGCATAGGTGTCAGTAGAGTAGGGTGCCACATTGGTGTTCCTGATAGCCCCCTTCTTGCTAACTCTATGAGACAGACACAGGCTTAGCTGACGTTTTCATTCATTTTTCCTCTCTTGACTCTGAATGGGAAAAGCACTTAGGCACTGGTGATGCCTGGGGCTACAGCCTAGGCATTGTGAAAGGAAGTGAAGAAGTCTCTCTGAGAGACTGAGGGTTGGGCTCCTCCATTTATGACTATGGTTACCTGAAGCAGCAAACTAAATGCTGGTGGCTCAGGAGGTCCAGGTTGCCCACTCACTATCTTTCTTCTAGCACATTGCTCCATTGTCAATACGGGGCTTCTGTGGAAGGTGTGTGGGTCTGTGGTTAATAGCAAAGATGAGCCTCGCTCAGGTCAGGATTTGTCTCATTCAGGGACCTCAGCTTTCCCAAAACATAGAGTGATTTTGCTTATTAACTTCCAAAACTATTTCTTCCTCCCCCATATGGGCTGGCGCATGCGTGCGTATCACAGGGGCTATTGGAAGTGTGCCTTCTGGCAAGAGCTCTCTTGTCTCTAGAAAACAGCAAGTCTTGGAATGTGTGCTGAGATAATATTTCACCTGCTGTGAAATATTCTTCAAATAACTTTATGCCTCTAGGCCTCCATTCCAATTTCCATGAGATAGCACTTGCTTTCCATATTCTTGCTTTGTAGGAGAGCCCAGAAGTGTGAAAATACCTTGTAAGGGATTAACATATTATTAACATGTTTTTCGATCATGGAAAAACTGCATTATATTGGAAACAAAGGAGGATCATTAGTAATACCCTAAAATGCCCTCTTGTGACCCAAGGGCTGACCAAGGGCTGGGAACATCTGCTGTTCATCATCTTTACTGTGTGTTATAAATGAAACGCTGAATAAAAAAGCTACCATCACTGGAGGAATGGGTTCTCTTATTATGTGGGAGGGGCTGTGTCTTCACTGTGATGGAACCAAGACAAGCCCTTCTTAAAAATGATTATCACGGGTCAGGTGGTGGTGGAGCATGCCTTTAATCCCAGCACTTGAGAGGCAGAAGTGGGTGGATCTCTGAGTTCGAGACCAGCCTAGTCTATTGAGCGAGTTCCAGGACAGCCAAGGCTATACAGGGAAACCATGTCTTGAAGAAAGAAAGAAAGAAAGAAAGAAAGAAAGAAAGAAAGAAAGAAAGAAAGAAAGAAAGAAATGATTATCGTGTTTGGGGGGGGGGTTACTTGCTGTAGGAGCCTGGGATCGTGCTACAGTGGTAACAAGAGAAATGGGAGTTGTTATGTTTCCCAGTTCTCACTTTTATTTATAAAATTTCAATGAGGAAGGAAGACAAAGGAGAGAAGCTGGGGCACTCTAGAGAAAGAGAAAAGAGGAGAGGTGGAGACAGATAAGGGTCAGGTGGAGATTTCTGTATTTCAGTTTCTGTTGAGACAGACAGACAGACAGACAGACAGACAGAGATCATTGTCAAGCAGTTGTCTCTCCCTGGTCTAGGAGGGGAGTGATCTGTGACCTGAATAGCTGAATGGCTTGTTTTTTTTCCCCGTGTCCAAACAAAGGAACCAAAAACTTGCCCTTCCATATATCACACTTTCATTCACCACTACTCGAGGATCCAAAAGCTTGACAAAAATAAAGATTTGGTCTCCTCCTGCAAAGTGCTTACAGTAACACAGTGAAGGCTCCAGGGAGATTCAGTTAGGTTCACATTTGCAGGTTTCCACAAAGGACTTTGCATCCATTCACTCGTGTGTGCTTATTTGATGGTTAAAAGCCACAGAGTGCCATGGCTCCAGGACTAAACCTCCCTAAGTGAACAAAAGCAGATGAGATCTCTGCTGTCTTGAAGCTGGCCTTTGGGGGGGCACAGAAATGGGCAAATGAACTAGTAGGTAAACAAGGTGATTGCAGATGGAGAACCACAGTGAAAACAAGTAAGACAAGACCATACACAATAATGAGTTAACCATGAATGAGAAGAAGGAACAAGATAGTCCATCCACCTTCGATAGGGCAAGCAGGGAAAGCCTCCCTAAGAATGCCCCATCCAAGCTGGCACCTAAATGATGAGGAGGACCCGGCAGGGTACAGATCTGGGGAAAGCCTTCTCTCTGCATGAAACAACAAACTCAAAAATCCAAATGTGAGCCGACTTAGAATGTTTACAAAACAGCAGAGGAGTTCTGGGAGGAGAAGGAAGGATGGGGTATGCTTTGAGAACCTGTTGGTTCCATTCTAGAAAGTTCCTGAGTAGCCATTCCATTCTCCTCTCAGCCATTCGTTCATGTAAGACTGTGTTCATAGACCCCCGAGAGTGTGCGGCAGGGCCTTTTGCATCTCCCCTTACTCTCTACTCATGGCTAGTGTCTAACCCTCCCAGAAGAACAGTGCACCATGGTTGGTATGGTGAGGCTGCCTGAGGTCAGATGGCCCTAACTGGAGTAATGAACTAGCTATATGGCCTAACTGTGCCTCCGATTCCTCATTTGTACGATAATGACAGTCCCTGCTTTGTAGGATGACTCTGAACACCAAGTCAGTCAATGCTACAACAGCAGCTGTGGCAGTGTTCTGTTATGGTTATTATTCTTTCCAATGTGAGACAGCGTCCCCTTGCTTTGTTCAGGTGTGCCCCAGTGCACAGGCTAGCAGGAGGGCTGGTGCTGCCGTGGATGGCTTCTCTTGCACGTATAATGCTCTAGGCACAGAGTGCTGTTCCTCTGTTTCCAACACCAAAGTCTTTATTAAGAGCCAACTAGGCCTGCTGCTTTGCTGAGCAGGGGCTAGAGACACACGTTAGATGTGGCCCGGTCTTCTAGGATGTCACCATCTAACCCAGACATCATAGGGCCCGACAGAGATCAAGAACACACAGAAGATGAGCCTGAGTGAGTTTCGTTATTATCTGAACAAGAAAGAGACAGGTTTAAAAACAGCCAGTGGGTTGGATACCTATTCAGAAAGAGAGGCATGGAGGATGGTGGTGGGGGATCTGCTACTTTCCCCCAATTAGTCAGGAAGGCTTCTCTGTTGCCGTTGAAGACCAAGTGAGAGGAAACGGATTCCGGCTGAAAGATTGAGGCTAGGTAGAAAGCAACAGAAAAGATGTCAGAAAAGTGTGGCTTCACAAAGAGACGACACCACCTGCCAGGCTGGGAGGCTGTGGAATGCATGGAGGTGGGGTTCAGGGCTAAGGATGCAGTCTAGAGCAAGGTCGGGAGTAGGCACACTCTTTGGATTTAATGAAAAGTAGGAAACCCGTCTAGAGAAATTCAGCAGACTCAAGTGTCTTTCTTGTTCCTCCGGGGCTAGCTTCCTGAGAACTTTGTTCACAGAAAGAGAGAATAACAAGGAAGGTTTTAGTGTGGTGGGTTATTGAACCATAGAATAAAGGTTTTACAAGGTTCAGAGGAACCTGCTAGATGCACAGAGAACTCTGGGAATGAAGATCCAGAAGAGCAGTTTAGGCCCAGATGATGCATTGGCTCTTCTAGGAACTGCGGTTTGAGTTTGTATTTCCTTGTGTACTTGCTTCATTAATACCTCTTTGCGCAATGAACAAACCCATACCTAAAGCCTATGAATCTTAAACAAAGATGCTCTCACACTGTAGGCTAGAATATTTACAAGTAATAAAGCCATCTAAACAGACTGTTAAATACAGCTCTCTCCTCTCAATCTGACTACTGTGGATTCAAAGTAAGTAGGAGAATGAGTTTGAATTTATAAATTTGAGATTTGTCTGAATTCTGCATTGGCCGATGGAGATATCCACAGACCACTCTGATTCTCTCATCTAAGTTCTGTCCATACCATTTGCTAAACAGTGGTTTCTTCCCATAGTCCTCTCGCCTAGGATGGAAGTTTATAGACCTGAAGAAAGTCCTCCAGGTCCTAGGAGCAGGCTTATCTCTATCTGGGCAAGAACTCCAGGGTACCAGGTAACTGGAGCACATTCCAGAAGAGGGACGTGGCTCCTTCTCTGTTGTCAGCTGTGCTTGAGGAGGGAACAGCTATTAACTTCTAAAGCC